CATTCCTGGACTAGCAGATAATATTAGTTCATCTAATACATCTGGAGCTAACTGATAAATTTATATAAAAAGTACAAAATCCAATGTAATCACAGCAACTAAATGACATTTATTAAGGAAAAGAATTTAAAACCATTTTTTTCTAAAGAAGGCATTTTTTAAAAAGTTAAATAAATTTTGTCCTCTTCCTATTTGGGCAAAACAACTTCACAGGGCAGACAGCATTCCCCTTAAGCGAGTCCATAAAACAGTGGTTCCCAAATGCACTGGAGTGAAATGAGAAGAATAAGGACAATGTAGTGTTTTTTAAAAAAAGCTACATTTATTCTATTTAAAGGACTATCTCTTGTTCTGAGATTATCCTTTTATGAAAAAAAAAGGGTGATAATACAGTGACTTCTTTCAGATTACTTGGCAAAATAAATTGGCAACTCTGTCAATCCCCACAATTTCTGGAAGTATTACTGGTCCATGAAACCCAAAAAGTCTGGGAACCACTGCCATTTAAAGACTCGTTTTGCATGTTGTTAACAACTGTTAAATGGAAAAAAGCTGTGGTCAGATGTCTGGGAAATAATATAGAATTTCACATGATCATGTGAATTATGGTAAGTATGCTCCATTCCCCAAACTTGGACCACTGTACACATTTACACCCACTGTTCATTGGAAAGACATAAAAATCTGAAGTGAACAATTCCTCTGACTTTGGAATTGCAACAGTTTTCTTCAAATGATGTTGATGTTAGCATTTCAACAGAGTCTGGCCTATGACTTAGCTGAAGCTAAGGAAACTAAGGAAATGGTATAATCAACATTATCAATATTAAACTTTTAATATCAAATACACTTTTGTACATTACTAATTTATATAATTATAAAACAAACTTCAAAAGCTCCATAAAATCAGTAAGGAAAAAGCCCTTACTGAATATTATATAAACTTTAGATGTTACCAGGTGTGATTTCAGAAAAAGACATCGGTTTTTTTTTTTTTTGATACAAATTATCTACAAAACAGTGTGATATAAATGGTATTTGAATTTTACAACAATGTGGCTACCATTCGCCCATTACTCTTCCATGGATGTCAGTACCTTCAAAGTTCATTTCCATTCACACATTTCTGCTGCTGAAGCCTGGTTCTTCTTAAAGACTCCAGCTGCTTTGCTCTTAGCCATCGTTCTCTTGACAGTGTTGTCTGACCAGCACTGAGAGACAGAAACCTGGTTTGAAATACAGAAACAAATTTAAGTCTAGACCTAGAATAATGAGTTGTTTTTTTTTTAAGACCTACTGGTTGGTAAGTTTTTTTTAATACTGTTGTGGGACACAAGACCAACTGGTAACTACAGAACTCAACAACCAAGTTAGACTTCTACAAAGGAACACCTGTCCTATTTGGAGGGTGATACCCTCTTTGAAGTGTGGAGAACAGGGAGCATGCCTGGTCCACTGAGGTGATCCCTGGCCACTGATTCCCCCTCAATGAGTCATTTCGCAAGGGATTTTTAGAAGGAAAAAGTTCATTTCCATTTTTATAAGTCTGCCTCAGTTATCCTAAATAAGCAGATTTATCTACAGCTCAATGAAAAGGCAATCGTGGACATGTACACTCACCGAGCTACAATGAGCAACTGGTGGAGATCATCGGCAGTGATGCTCTGAGGATCGTTCTTGCGCATCTCCACAAAATCATCTTCAACTGCCTTTATCAAACAGTAAATGAACTTTAAAATTATTCCTTATGAGGAAACATTTGCATTTTGTAGGG